TTATATTTATTATATTAATATATATAAATACATAATATATATAACATAATGTAATATATAACATAGTGTATTTTATATTTATTCTATTAATATATATTTGTATTATATATAATATTGTAAATATCTATTATATAAATAAAATATATTATATAGTATACAATAAAATATAAAATATATATTGTATTACATGAAAATATTATATCTAATTTATATGTATTAAATATATTATATAGGATGCAAATATATAATAATAATTTAAATAAGTATATTATATATAACATAACATAATATATAATATAATATTATATACTATAGTGTATTTTATATTTATTTTATTAATATATGTGTATTATATAATACATATATAAAATGTAATATAATACAAATACAAATATAAATATAACAATATAAATATAAATATAAATATAAATATAAATATAAGTGTTTGAGGAAGAAGCCGTCTTTGAGAACCAAGTTCCTATTTTAAGTTCCATCATTTTAGAGGGAACCTTTTTTCTTAAGCACAAGAAAGTAAGGAAGTTCTAGGGTGAACTTCTTTACTGTATAACTTCCGTGCATCAAACATGAAACTTGTACAGTAATGGGGAAGTTCCTTCTTCCTCCCCCGAACTTCCTGTTATCAAACACGCCCTAAAAGTATTTATTTCTGGGGACAACATCTCTAAAAATTGTGATATTGCTGTCCTGGTTTCTTGGTAATGTTTTCACAGAGTACTGGGGTGGACTGAAAGGAACTTGGAGCCCAGTTGGTGTGCCTAGAGTTCCCTTGCGTGACAGCCAATTGAAGCATGAAGCATCTTCAGTTGATTTGGTAAGGCAATTTGTTTTCTTGATTTAGATTGGTGATTGTTTCATGGATCTAAAACCAAGGATATTAGAGAGTTTAGCTAAAAGTACTTGCCTTTGAAGGCTCATGATCATGTATGGGTATTCCCCAGGTATACTTCCTTTGGTTATGGGCAGTATCTGACTTGTTTTATTTTCAACGTTCTTAGATGTATCTAATGAGTTTGAGAGAAGATGTCGTCCTTCTATGTAACCTTTTATTCTGTTTAGGCAAGGGATGGGCAGAAATCAGATATACTTAAGGGATCTGAGGAAAAGTTACAGGAAAATGTCCCAAAAACTGTGAAAATGCCAACTTCAGCGTGGATGCCTTTTCCCGTGTTATTTGCTGCTATTGAGAAAAACATATCTCCTGTCGACAAAGATTTGTTAGATCGCTACTATACTGATTTCAAGGTAAAGTGTTTATTAATTGTTGTATAATATACAAGAATTCAATTTATTGCAAAAGCCAACATCATTATGCAATTACATTTGTTTGCACTTTGGTCGGATTTGTGTCAGACAAAGAAAATAACTCGAGAAGAGCTTATAAAGAAGTTGAGATTGGTGATTGGAGACAAATTGCTTATATCTACATTGAAAAATCTCCAGGGCAGGGTAAGTAAAGTTTTCATTTAACAGTTTGCCTTTATGTGTTTTTTCCTTGGTAAAGAATTTGATGTTAAATTTTACTTGGAAGTTATGATTGATATATATAGATATATGGAAAACTTTAAAAAACGCATATAGGTGAAATTAAATAGTGTTCATCTTGTGGCGGTTTTGCCTTAAAAACCTCCACGGATCATCGGGAGCCGTGGCAGTTGCCTGTGTTTTTTTGCGTGAAAAAAGACCGCAACAGACCTAGTATGTCCGTTGCGGTACCACAACGGACATAGTAAGTCCCGCAAGGGACATATTAGGTCCGTTACGGTCTTTTAATCCATGCCATCCTAAAAAATTGGACGGCACCGAGCCTATAGGTGAAAACACTGTACATTTTTGCCCATAGGCGTTGTGTAGTGGCTTCCATATTTATGTATATTGATTGCTCATTGAGTGTATTCTCATCCAAAAAATGCTCTACCCAATATATATGCACGTTTGTGTGTCACTTGTGTTTTGTCTGGCAGAGCTGTACACATGAATAAAATCAGATATTTTGATTATTTAGTACCAGAAAGAGTATTTACTGAAAATATGGTTCTCCTTGTTTGAATAGCAGCTAGTCATGTAGTGATGCTCTGAGTTTCTCTGTCCTTTTTATGTTATTTTCTCTGCCGTTGCACCTTCTTCATTTCCTCAATTCATTTTCTCTTTTTTTTTTTTGGAAGAAATTCACATTATATATATATGTAAAAGATATGCAAAATCCTCACAAGGCTTGAGGCTGAGGCATCCCACATGCTGGGTTCTCTATACAAAAGAAAACAGAAAAATGGACCGAACAAATTGAATATAAAAATTGTTTGGCGTACCACAAGCCAGGTGCTCAAAACCTAAATATATCAACATTAGGTACGCGACAACCCACACATCGAGTGCTCAGCGCACAGGGCGTGACAGCCTACAAACTAGGTGCTCACAACTTAGAAAATATTGAGCGGATGCTGATGGAGAGAGAAAATAAGAATAAGAAAGGTAGGAGTAGTAGTGATGGGAGACAAAATAGGTTATAAAGAAAGAGAAGAAAAGGATGGCGGGGAGTTAGAAGCACTGTGAGAGAGCTAGAGAGAAGTGAGACTGAAAGTATATATATATATATATATATATATATAGAGAGAGAGAGAGAGAGAGAGAGAGAGTAGTAGTAG